CCATTCTCCTGAACCGCTTCGCGGCCGAACGCCACGTGCGAACAAGGCCAAATCAAGCCGGATTTCGACCTGGAAGAGGCTGTGTTGATCAATTATTCACACTGCGAAGAATTTTGGAACACAGGGACAAATTCCAACAGCCGACGGTTGCTTGCTTCATCGACTTCCAAGCGGCATTCGACTCAGTTGATCGAGGAGCACTCTGGTATCTAATGGAGCTCGACGGAGTTCCGACCAAGCTAATCAACCTGCTCAGGTCATACTACTCCAACACCAAAGCTCGAGTCCGAGTGAACGGTGAAGAGTCCCGCACTTTTGAGGTAACCAGCGGTGTCCGGCAAGGTTGTCCAGCATCCCCCATCCTGTTCAATTTCACAATTGATTGGATTTTGCGGCACGCCCTAACCGAGCACCACGGCGTCCAACTTTCGCCCGATATTCACATAACCGACCTCGAATTCGCCGACGACGTCGTGCTGTTAGCTGAAAACTTCCCCGATATGCAACAGGCGCTCGACCAGATAAACCACCTCGCGCCTACTATCGGTTTGAAAATTAACACTTCCAAAACCAAAATGTTTTCGAACACATCCACCGGCAATGATGAAATCTTATCCCTAAATGGAGCACCTATTGAAATTGTGCCATCCTTCAGATATCTGGGATCCATAATGCTCCCCAACGGCCAAGCGAAAAACGAAGTGAATGCGCGAATCTCCAACGCCCGGAATGCGTTTCTACAGCTGAGGAGCGTTCTATGGAGCAAGAGAGAAATCAGTCTCAGGACTAAAATTCGGGTCTACCAAGCTTCCATACGACCCGTTCTGCTGTATGGCTGTGAAACCTGGCCTCTTCGCGCGGAAGATTTACGCAGACTCGAGGTATTAGACCATTGGTGTCTCAGGTACATTCTGCATGTTCGTTGGCAGGACAAACTCTCCAACGAAGAAGTGCGTCGGCGTTGCTACAACATCAACCAAATTCCAGTACTGGTCCAACAACGCCGCCTTCGGTGGTTTGGCCATGTTCTGCGCCGACCAGATGACGATCTGGTCAAATCAGTTCTAAATCCCTCGCCATTACCATCTTGGCGATGTCGCAGAGGCGGACAGCTGAAGACATGGCTTGGTACAGTCAAGGCAGATATGGAGTGCCTGGGGCTACAAACCGTCTACGGACTCCGTATGTGGAACAAGAATTGGATATCCCTATCGCAAAACCTTGCTTCAGATCGCCGCGCCTGGGCAGCGATGATTCGAGACGTTCATGAAGCCGGCTCATCCTCCCGTAGGAGATAGCCGAAGTAAAGTAAGTAAAGTAAGTATATTACTATTCTTTTTCCCTCATATCTCTGTTATGCATTTCTTTTCCCTTTCTTCCCTTGCTTTGTGTGCCACATGGAATGTGGCGACTAGAACTGCTGCTGAAACCAGTCAGTTACTCGTCGTTTTGTTCATATTCCATAGTGAATTGATTGTTGTTTGGGTGGGCCTCACTGAGCCGGTCACATAAGACGGATGCCTGACTCATGTGGATACAAACAAGAAACGCATCATCGACATATCTGCAGTAGCATGTTTTTCCATTGACAGCATCACTCAGTCGTGAAGTTAATTCTGACTAATGCCGTTAAGTCAAGTTAACCTGATATTTTCGCTCACAGTGCTTATGGAATTTTATGTATTGTTGGTGTTCGTAGTCAACCGATAGTCAATAGCATCTCACAAGATTCTGTTAGTTTGTTTTCGAAAGAGAACTTTGCACCGATGTGCGGCAGTTCAAGTCAATACACGCCCTCCATGTAGCACACAAAGCAAGGGAAGAAATGTATAAGAGAGACAGTAAACAGAGGTGTGAGACAAAGGACTAGTAATAACGAAGAACGATATAGTTTCATTTGAAATCATAAGTCACAAGGAGTGGATGCATCTGCACCAGCCATTGAGAACGATTTTGAGCCCTATCACTAATTGTTTTGCAATCGTTGGTTTTTACTGTCCCGAGGATCCCGACCAATCTGGAAGTCTACACCTTCCTACGTGACTGGCTGAGACTAACTGTTGTGGATTTCATTGACTGGTGCCGTGTTTTGGTTTGACCACCGCTAGCTCTTTTGCAGCCTGGCCGACGTGCGTCGGTGGCACAGTGGTTAGGACTCTCGCCGACCATGCACGTGGTCCGAGGTTCGATCCCCTGTCGACGCACACCTGATATCTATGGTCGGCCTGCAAAATTTGGGCTACCGATATCCATGCTGAAAATTCAATACTTGTACCAAAAATACAGTGTGGAATCAAGCTGTAATCAAAAAAAATGTCAGCTAACATTGCCCATTGTCGAGGAAGGCGATGACTAGGCATACGCAACACATGTCCTAATCATCTGAGTCGATGTAGTTTCACAGCGTCGTCAATTGATTTCCCCTCCCCTCTTCTCCTTATTGTTAGTGTTCGTAGTGAACCGAGAGTGAATAGCATCTCACAAGATTATGTCAGACGATCGCTTAGATGGATTTAATGTCAATCAATGTAGGAGAGAGAGCATTGGAGGCGGCAAGAAACTACTTCAAGCGTTGAAATAACTTGTGGTAATAAAAAAACACTCAAGTCGTAATAACCTCGAACGCTACGTCATTGTAACACAAAGCAGACATCATAAGATAATATAACACTTATTACTTAATTATAAAAGATAAAAACCATTTTACGAGAAAAAACTAGATTAACGAAGTCAATTGCTAATATTGCATTATGATATGGAAAGCATATCGAGCTTCGTCTCCCGGTATAGGCTGAACAACTATTACCCCTTATCAATACAGTCGACTAATCTTAGTACCTAGATCCTACATGTGTAGCAGTGGCTAGAAATGAAACCTAAGACAATAGTTTCGCCCTTTCTAAGATTTTTCCCAACGAACGAGGCTCCCCCTACGACCAGTAGGCAGACATATCATTCCAAACCTCTCCCAAAGTCTTCCTATTGAAGCTATTGAACTACAAGAATTACCCTTTGGGCAACGTATACAATTTGGCGTTTTTCATAATGCTTGGAATTAATCGTTAACCCCTCTGAAGTGAATTAGTTCGCCAACTATGTAACAGTATGCGGTGTAAGTCGTCGGTGGTTCAGCAGTAGGAATTTTGCCAACTACGTAAGTGGTCCAGCGTTCAATCCTTAACAGATGCGCTCCTAAACTTCGCTGTCGGTAATATTGTAACGACAGAAGACAAGGGCACGGCAACAAATCGTTTATTATGGAAATCAACACATATTTATAGATTTTCATGGAAATTATTATAGATCATTGTTAGCAGAAAAACACAATCCTCTAATTGGTTGTTTCTCACTGAAAGTTAATCTTTCATCTCTTTGTGGCTGTTTCTTGAATGTCAGATCATCTATATGTTAACTGTATCCGCCTACGGAAAGTCTTTCTTCTCATTTTTCTCACGACCAATATTGGGGACATAAACATTGACGTAAATTACTGTCTGCCAACTTTGGCTAGCCATAGACAAGAGAGAAGTTGTGAAGATAACCAACCAACAGCATCAACATCCAGCGCCAATCACTATCACCATCAATGGGAGGGATTTGAAAGAGATTACTTCATTCACTCGCTTATCTAGGGAGCATTGTCTCAACTACAAGCAGGAGGAAGGAACGAGGATGTCAAATCGAGCGAGAATCGGGAAGGTGAGAAACACATTCATCAACCTGAAATCAATCTGGAAATCTTCGTCACTCAGCCAGCATCACCAACAAAATTCGGATTTTCAATACAAACGTAAAGTCAGTCGGTTCTTCTATACGGAACGGACCAGAAACTTGGCGGGTGGGTCACAAAGAATATTTCCAACAGCCTGTTGCAGACCTTTATTAACAACAACTGTCTTCGGTGGATCTATACTGAAGATCAGATGGCCGGGCCGAAAAGAATCACCAACAAGAAACTATGGGAAGGAATGAAACAAGAATCAATCGCCAACCAACAAATATGCAGGAGAAGGTGGACATGGACACTCGCTGAGGAGGCCGCTGGGTGACATCGCGAGCACGTCAGGCCATTGCTCGAGTGGAACGAGTCCGAAAGGGAAGCGGCAAGTGGGTCGTTAGTGCAAAGGTGACATGGAGGAGATCGTGTGTAGAGGAGTTGAAGGAGTATGGACTAACTAACATGGATACAGGTGAAAAGTACAGCAGAAGACAGAAGTAAGTGGTGACGTGCAGTTGAAGCCCTATGTTCCACTAGGAACCGAAGGAAAAAATAATAAACTTTGGCTAGCAGCCAGCTCTCACAACAGTATAGACCAGTAAAGAGGGAGAGTTGGATATGAGGCTAGCAACCTCTCCCACCCCCTAAGCATAGCACCGCCTGCTATCGAAACTACAAAGCCCAAGAAGACACTGGAGCCCTGTGTCCCACTTAGAGTTTAAAGAAATAAAATTAAAACTACAGCATGTAAACACCACTTAAACGAACAAGTACAACAAAAACATCAATTTCTAACTAGTATGATAGTGGCGGCTAAATAATAGGAGAGAAAAACACTAATATCTTCTGCATACAACAAGCAAACTAACTAATATAAATTCTAGATGACTAAACTACTGCACTTTTATATAAAGTTCTACGTTGTTAAAAAAAAATTCAGTCTAATTCAAGACAAATTCTTCCTGCTTATCTGTTAATCTCCACCCTTAATTTAATAGTGTTCATTGCCTATGTTGACCTTGTCCAAATGATATGTTATGGACTACAGTAGCTGTCAACTTCAGGCTGTAAATATACACATGGTGACAATACAGATTATGTCAGTAATAGTTTGAAGGGTAAAAAGTAATAACTCCATATAAAATTCCATTTTATTTAAATAGCGTATTAAATTTGTAAAAATCCGATTCTACATTTTCCATTGTTATTTCTTTGTTGTTATTTATGTACACAATCACAGAAATTCAATCATTTTTACATTCACGCACGCACGCACACACACCTCTGGAACACGGCGCTTTACAGATGCCTTCGGATTCTTATTCATCGAAATTAAGATCTTCAGATGGTTGAGTATTTGGATAATGGTTGTCAATCACTGTCGTGTTTTCCTGTAAAATCACGCAATAAATAATTCCGAAAAAAACAGAGTTACCATAGCGTCAACAGTGCCAGCATTTAAGGTCTGGTTATCCAAAAATGTATTCGATGCATCAACTGCTTCAACCAATTCTCTGAAAGGAGAGGAAGAAGAAGAAAACAAATACGATATATATACGTTGAATTTACTTCAACGTACCTGTGTGATGCAAGTAAGGCTGGTAGATGCGTTCTTCCTTCATCAGTTACATGTGAATACTCGGAAAATTCACGTTGTCTGTCAACAATGGTCAGGCATTTACTCAATAACTCTAACAACTGACATGACTCGGATTGAACAGGTTGTGTGACAATTTGCCTCCCTCTTTGCTATATAATCAACCATAAAATAAAAAAATTATATATATATATATATATACATATATAGGAATGAACAACTTACATCTATAAACTCACGAAGCTTTGGAAGTAAGTTCCTTATATCAGGAAATATTTTTTCATCATTTTTAGTGAGAGTGGCCAAAAATGTTTTCAATACATCAACTGCTTCAACCAATTCTCTGAAAGGAGGAAGAAGAAAACAAATACGATATATATACGTTGAATTTACTTCAACGTACCTGCGTGATGCAAGTAAGGCTGGTAGATGCCTTCTTCGTTCATCAGTTACATGTAAATACTCTGAAAATTCACGTTGTCTGTCAACAATGGTCAGGCCTTTACTCAATAGCTCTAACAACTGACATAACTCGGATTGAACAGGTTGTGTGACAATTTGCCTCCCTCTTTGCTAAATAATCAACCATAAAATAAAGAAATTATATATATATATATATATATATATATATACGTATATATATATATATACATATACATATATAGGAATGAACAACTTACATCTATAAACTCACGAAGCTTTGGAAGTAAGTTGCTTATATCAGGAAATATTTTTTCATCATCATTTTCAATGAGAGTGGCGATTGGCTGAAAAACATATTACAGTCGGGAGAAACACAAAAAAAACAACAAAGTAATGTTAAATTCAGTAGGTCTGCTTATTGTACACAAAGCGTGAAGCCACATCTCTACAGATTTTAATGATCAGATTTTACTATGACTTATTTAGGTGGGACAAAATCGGCAAACATTACAAAATGTATTAAATATTCCCATAGTAAAATTTAGAACAACACACTTAAGCGAACAATATTGTGGTTTCAATGAGATCTCATCAGGCTTAACTCTAATATACATAAATTTACCAATAAATATTCAAATATAAACCAATCATGGTGTTTTGTCTATAGGATAATAAGATGGTGACTATAAATTGTGCGATTAATCATAATAATAATAGTTTTATCAATCATAAGGATGAAAAAGTGAGGCAATCTGTGATAACACGAATAATGAAAAACAGTATGATTAAACAAACATTTGTTCAGGTGGAAGTAGTCGATAAAGGCTAGTAAAAACAAATGAACCGATTAAGTAATGTGAGATTGTAAGGGAAGGGAATGGAACACGTTTATAGTGAAGATAAGATTAAGGGATGATAAGAAAGGGGTTGAAAATATAACCAAGGGGTGATGTAGAAGTCTTTAGTTGGTTATGTCTTAATAGGCCAAGGGAGGGATAATAGCTGTACGAACTTTTTTTGAATGCATTGTTCAGGCTTAATAGTTCGAATGCTTATCGCCTCAGCTGTAAGCAGTAGACGAATAAGAAGTCTACTGAGAAGATTCTGTGGGATGACATGAAATGCTTTGGAAGCTCTCGTTTTCTCCACTACATGACCACTATCAACTGAGTGTGACAAAACTGAGCTACGGATTGTTTTTGTCTGTCCTTTTGCCAAACCACCACGATGGGAGATGTTCACTAACACGTTGGCTAAGCTGTCTAGTAGTGCGACCAACATAACTGTCATCGCAGGTGCAGTTTAATTGATAAACACACATAGCAGTGGCAAAACTACAAAGCTAATCCTTCATTTGCGTCCCAATCATTCGTCGGCTAGAGAATGACAAACACAGGTGTGCTGAGTAAAATGTTCTTCGTACACTCCTTGAAAGTCTTTGGAATAGAATCTCACTAGATAAGTCACCATTAAATTGTAAATGTGTCAAACTGCTGCATGAAAATGTAACACGATATAACAGTAGTGTACATCTACATTCAGGTATAGCACAATCTCATATGAGCTATTTGATTTCATTGAAACAATGTTCACTGGGTGATATTTCAAGCACAAATTATGACTCATAATCAATCATATCAAATTAATCAAACAACTTTCGAAATCGAAATTAACGGTTCTTTGGAGACTTAATCCCGACTGATAACTGCTACATTGACATAATGGTTGGGCCTGCATATCCCAATGAACCAACGAGCTACAACACTGGCAGAAAATAATGATTCTACAAGCCTCACCATTGCAAAAAGGTCGTTAGATCAATAGAAGTTAGCCACTTTATTGTAATTTCCAACACTATGTTGGGAATCTGTGGACGAATGCTCACTGATCTGTAAACATTACTGTATTACACTGTGAGACTTTATCAAAACAAAATTTACCCATAATGGGATTACAGGTTCTGGAATCTACTGAGTGAACGTAGCACTTAAGATACTATATTAGCCAAGCTAATCGCCTGATAGCTATCACAGGCAGACTTGTCTCCCTTCTTATAAACTGGGATATACTATGATTTTCATTAATCTGGCAGAATCATTTCTGATTCTCAAACATAACCTTAGTTAGGCCCAGACAGTTTGTCACCTTTGGAATCACTCCATCATATCCTGCTGCTGTTTCGCTTAAGATTGCAGATGATCCACGAAACCACAGTTATACTAGAAGGACTGATGACTGGTAACTTTCGTTTATGTTCGGGGCAGAAATCAGTTGTTTTTCTTAACCTACTGGTCTGGATTTAGTAACAAATCGACTGGCATTAATTAACGTTTGGCTTCATCTTTACGTAAAATTATAAGTGTTTCTATTGAAAAGCTTGTACACAGCTGACTCATCAGTCAGCTGGCATAATATTTGAATATTATGCCAGAGGTAAAGCTAGCTGGCTTGATGTCCAGACTTCTAAAATCATCAGTAACACATTCGCTTCGAAGTAAGTGAAACAAAGAGTGAATTATATTCAGAACTACCCAGTATGCATAGTGCATATGTACATTTTTGACACTTCATGTAACAGTTACTGACAGACTTACTTGGGTATTGCTATCTGGTTCTCGAGAAATAGACCTTTCAGTACGATCAGTTTCCATAGCTAGATTTAACAAGTCGAACTCTTCACGTGAAAAAAAATCGTCTTCCAGCAAGGAAGATTCAGCTAAGGAACTCCCGAGAAAACTCATTGACAGATTTTCATCCATGTTAGACTAAATATAGCGCACAGAGACCACAAGCACGACGAGTGAAAGACGGCGAGCCAGACTCAAATTACCCGGGTACAAACTAGTTCTCATCATTTATAACAAGTTTGGATAACCGGTCTTCATCTTGCTCCAGTGATGCCACACCAACGTTTCTTTCTAAAAAGAAGAAAAAGAAACTTGTTTAGTGGCATTGTATTGGTTTCCATTGCATTACATAAAAGCAATAGTGATAATCGACGGAGCGTGCCGCCCAAACAACCTTGAACGTTGACTAGGAGACTTCTCATGTGAGTTCAAGGTTTTATTTTCAATATCCAATGGTGACTCTAAACTATAGCAGACCGAAACGTAATACCCCAGAATTATTGCCCACAGCATTCATCAGTGAACACCGGATGCTGACCTGTAAGCAAACCCATCAATGCACCTAATGTATCTTTGTATATGCATGAGACCGCCACATTGGCAAATTTTCACCCTTCCAATATCCAATATCGTTTTTACGAACTAGTATAAACCAATTTGATTCCTTTGTGCCCGCTTCTTGATTGTAAGGTATAGGTTCCTGATCTTCGGTAAACTTCTGCGTAGCCCGACTGTCGTAGCTTTGGTTGACTGCAAAGGGAGTAGTGCTGGGATTAATTATATGTGGTTTGTAGTATGAGGTGTGTCAAGACTGTTACTACTGTGAATGGAGTTGATCCTTTCACCAGTTAGTCCTCCGGTATCGTCGACAAGATAAGAGAGATGTTAATAATAATAATGCTAATGGCGGCCTGCTTAAATCTTGGGCTACCAAATTACCTTAAACATTACAAATCATATTGCATCTAATTTCTCATTTCTAATTGATTTTTAATCAATAAATCTTATTCAAATATGACCTCTAATCGGATTATTTATTCTCGTGAATATTTATTATCCTTAAAACCTACTGATCTGCATCTCCATAAAAAAGACAAGAAAAAGCATCATGCCGGCTGGCAGAGAGCATTAAAAAATACCCCTATTCAATTCATGACTGTTTCCGCAATTATGAGTACCAATTGTCGCTCCATGCCGGCTAAAATTAACTGTCTTCAATCGCTGGTGTCTTCCATTATATGTCATAATACTGGGATCATATCACTTCAAGAAACATGGCTACATGATCTATATGATGACAATCTAGTGTATCTAAATAACTTCAAATTATCCAGACAAGATTGGTGTAGTTCCAGGAAGAAACGCGGTGGCGGTGTCGCCATCTTCATCAATTCACAATGGTGTACGTCTAATAATGTATGTTTCAAATTCTCTAGTGAAAATATTGACTGTCTCACCGTTAGGTATCGACCTAAACATTTGTCAAAATACAACTACATTTACATCTCGAATATTTATATTGCTCCTGGATGCAACTTCACAGAATTATCTTTATTTGCGGATGAATTTACCTCCCTTGCTGCCACCTCCTTCGGAAATTCCTTGTCTATAGTTACTGGCGATTTCAATTCTAGTGATCACAGCTTCCTAATTTCACTCGGACACGATAACATTGTCAACTTCCCGACTAGAATGGATAACACTCTTGATCTTGTGTTTACAAATGACGCAGGAATATTTGAAGCTCGAAAAGGAGCCCCACTACTAAATTCAGATCACTGTATCATAAGAATATTGCCCAAAGTATATGGAAAGCAGCACAAAAGGGTCTTCTCACACCTTGGAAAGAAAACACAACACAGATGTTATTCCCATGACAACATACTGAATCTAAGGTCCATGTTGAAAGACACTAACTGGGATCTATTTACTGAACAAGCTCTTGATAACACAATTACCAACATAACACATTATCTTAATTTCTGTCTTGATGTTTGTTGTCTAAAGAAGACAGTCTTCTTAAAATTTGATCGCTTCACCTCTTCTCAACTCAAAAAGCTCCGCCGTGAAAAAGAAAGGTTGTTCAAAACGAAAAATAAATCTGGTGTTAAGAAAATGGACAATTTGATTAAGCTTGAATTACAAAGATTGAGTGCTCTCTATAACCAGAAGTTTCTTCCATGTAAATCCCCATGAAATATGTGGAAGTTATTAAAGGAAATCACAGGTGGTAGGCAAATGATGAATGATATTTCTGTAGATGTTAACATGCTTAATGAGTCCTTCATATGTATCCCAGCAAATGTTATGATTCCTAACTCAAATAGTGTAAATAATGACTGCTTCTCTTGCTTTAACACGAATGATGTCCTCAAGTGTCTTCAATCTCTCAAACCTACTCAGTCCCTTGGTCCTGATGGTGTTCCTGCTGTTATCCTTAAGAAGCGTGCCGACATCTTGTGTTCCCCTTTAACTGACATTTTCAACGAATCGTTTTCCAGAAGTATTATACCTAACTCATGGAAAAATATCAAGATTGTTCCAGTGCCTAAATCAACAAGTGGACCTAATGTTAAGTTTAGACCCATTGCAATTACCTCACCTTTTCTGAAAGTTATGGAAAGACTTATTTTTCTTAATCTTGATCCCTCTTTAAAGCTTTTCAACGACCCCAACCAGTTTGCTTATAAACACAGTAGGTCTACGTTAGATGCCGCTGTTGTCCTACATCATAGTATAGTCTCTAGTTTAGATAAAAGAGCTAAATACGTTCCCCGTGCCTTCCTTGATTACACATCTGCATTTGACTCTGTTCACAGGTCTCTCTTGCTAAGTAAGCTTGCTGCAAAACAGGCTGAGAGCTGGACAGATAAGTGGTTGCACTCCTATTTTCCTGATAGGAAACAGTACACCGTCTACAATGGAAAGTCCTCCACTACCTCACCTACTTTAGCTGGTGTTCCTCAAGGTGCTATTCTTTCTCCATTTCTATTTTCTTTTTTCTTACATGACTTGCCTCATTCTGATGTAGCCACTTTTGTTAAGTATGCCGATGACCTCTCTGTTTCTATGCCTGTCAACTCTCATTCAGATTGTTCCAAATTAAATAACTTTCTGTCGGAAATTAGTCAGTGATCCTCTTCGAACGGACTTAAGCTTAATCCGTCCAAATGTCAGGTAGTCAATTTCACTTTCAGACGTAAACGTGACCTTTAGCGACTAGGTAGCTCACATGGCCCCACTATCATCGACGGCACAGAGGTTGAAAATACATCTAATGTCAAGTACCTTGGGCTAAGTTTTTCCACCGATCTTTCCTGGTCTTCCCACATCTTGCTGGTTACTAGAAAGATGTTTCGCTTAACGTTCTACATTAGGAAATTCAGGCAGTCTGGCATAAAGCAGTCTTTGCTTTCTCAGTTTGTAAATTCTTGTATTCTACCCATCCCCTTTACTGCTCCTCATTAATCTTTCCTGGACTACTTGAGAAAGACTTTTCTTTGCTCAGAAGGGCACTAAGAGCCGTTAGTAGGGCAAGTGGGATATCGTTGAACCAACTGGTTAACACTATTGTGGATAGACATATAATGTCATGTAAGAAACTAGCGAATACAATATTGTCAGACCCCGAGAATCCTCTCTATGCGCAGCTCTCTCCTTGCATTTTATCTGGTAGAACTAGAAACAACTATAAGAAGCTATGTGCTAGGACTACCAAATACAAAACCTCCACAATACCATATCTGGCACAGCTGTTATGTGATGAGAAACCCGTTAGGCATGACACGATAAACTTAGTGCGCCACTCTAACAAATAGTCCCAATAGTTTTTGTTTTCCTTTCCTCGTTGCTATTACACTGTTGTTCTCATCCTCTATCACACATCAACTTTATATTTCATATAATAATAATGCATATTCTGGTATAAAACTAGAAATTTACATGAAAATGCATGCTATTTTTACAGGCACGATCAAGTATGATATAATATCAAATCGTAGATTGTCTACAAGTTAATAATGTTTCAACAGTTTAATATTTGATATACATATAAATACACTCATTGTCTGAACTAGGCTGTATAGTATTGAATTGTACGTTTGTCTCTCAGGTTGATTGGGAGAATCGACTTCGTTTCGTTTTCATCCCGTGGTTGTAGGCATACGATAACCAACCAATATTGAGGTAGGTACAACGTTTACAACGGATTGAAAGCTGTTTTTAGAAAAGTAAATGTGATAAGGTGAATCAATAAAGTGTAATGAAATGGGTAAATGCAAGTATCACTAATAAATGCATTAATAAAGGAAACTCCCTAGGCTGACAACGTTCATTTGCAATGTATAATGCTTCCTGTACAGTTTCCACTATCATGATGTCCACTTTCGGTTTTAATACATTTTTTCCTTATGCCGGTTTTTTATGCCTTTTTGTGCATTTGGTGCACAACCGTACCCTACAGAGAATAGGAATAGAATAAGTCGAATCAAACTCATAAAGAGCTATAAAATGTTAGGTTTAATGGAATATAATGAGGATCAAGTAAAGACGTTATTAGAAAATAAATGAGATAAGACATTGTGAAGTGGTATTTAAAGATCTGATGATGGACAGCAAGTTAATTTATAAGATGCCCCCTAAATCTGTGCAGAGCCCACGTGGTCGCATCTCAACAATAGGCTGAGTGAATGGTATATATTTAAAGGTAGAAGCATGATCTGTTTAGGCGTTCATTATTATCTTTTTCAAGATAAAGATCTAAGCCCTCATAAAAATCAGAAATATCTCGAGCCTTCAAATTGTGTATTGCTGTTCCTGCAGAATGGGGCGATTCACCTTAGTGACCCCCACCATATCTACTGATCAGCTAACGCCACCCTCCCTCCTTTTTTGATGTTAGGCTCTGAGACTATGATTATTATGGCTACCGCAAATATATTGCTTGGTACCAGACATGTTCGTACCTCATATTCCATCTCCCTAGCTTTCTTAATGAGTGCTTCCAATAGGTCTCCGCGTACATCTTTATGAACATTATATATGTATGCATGCGTCCTAATGAACAGATTACTTTACAAGAAGGAAAAACCTTAAAGAATAAAAAGAATAGGTTTTGTGAATAGTGGAGCAAG